ATTTATTAGATTGCTCTCTATAATTAAAAATGATAGAACTCTATCTTCGGAGAAATTTAAAAATATACTGTAAAGATGACAATGTACTAAACAGAGAGAAGATCATCGCATTAACGCTATAATTATCAGGTTGTGAGTCAATAGAATTTTCAGACAAAATAAGGATCGTAAATATAGCTGAGTGATATAGTAAAGAATATTTAGAAATAAGAAGAAATAAGATAGAAACTGTTTAATCATCTTAATTTTGGGGAAAAATTGGATAAAATTAGTGACAAAACGTAATCAAGAATTATTGTAGAATAAACAAGAATGGAATACTTAATAAATTGCAAAATCTTCGTTAAAATCATACATTCATCATCACCGAGTGAGTGATTCCAAATTTTTGAAATTGTAGTAACAACAAAGTCGTCATAAGTTTAACTATCTTATGAAATAAAAGATGCATTTAAATGTATAGTGTGTTTGTGTAAGTAATTAAACATAAGGAGAGACAAACAACAATTGCAAAAAAATAAAAAATGATTATTAAAAAACTATCCTTTCGGTTGGTTAAACAATCGGTTAGTAAAACCATATACATAATAAAATTGTGCGAATACGATCAATAATAACATATAATTAATTCATATCGATAAACCTATGTTACATGTATAAAAGTAATAATGTGAGATCTATGAATACGACTATTCCTCGATCACTGTAATCTACAAGAACGCAAAATCTATGATTATCGTTTCTTTCACATTCCCTTTTTCTCTTGCCATTCGATCTTTTTCCATCCTATCCTTTTGGTTGTTGTTGTTGTTCGACGAAGTTTTAAAAAAGAAAAAGAACACGCGTCCGAAGATTCATCTAAAGATTCTAACGAGAACGTATTAATAAAATTATTAGCTTACTTGATATTAAAAAAGATTATTTTATAAGAGAAAAGAGATACAGAGCATAGATAAAAACTTAAAAGGATATTACTGATTATCGAATAACAAATGGAAATTTTAAATACAAATCGTTATAATTAAAAAATAAAATTCACTTATTTCGTTTGTGCATACGAAAAATCTGACAAATGAATATTTATAGATTTTTCTCGTTTTTTTCTTTTCTTTTTTTCTTTTTTTTTTTTTCTATCTTTTCCTTTCGTGCGTTGTTTTGCATAAAATTTTGAAGACGGGATGATGCAACGAAAAAAAAATTATGACAAAATGAGACAAAAGTAATTTACACGTGCATCGTTATAAAATGCCTGAGAAAGAGCATCGAAAAAGCATGTGAACGCCTAATAAGCCATACAAACGACGTATCATTTTCACTCCATTTTAATAATCATTTCTCTAATCAGTAAATACATTTTTGCTACACAGTTCACCAACGTATAGAGCCACTGAGAATCATACGAAAAAAATTCCATGAAAGCAGATCTTAAATAATCATAAATAATTGTAAATTATCAAATGACAATATCGTTTTTTTTTTCTTTCTTATTTTCACGTAAATATAATATTTCCTTAAATAAAAAGGAAAAATGTGTAACAGTTAAAAACGTGTGGACGTAGCTATCGTATTTGCGAATTTAAGAACTCATTTCCTGATCGATTAAAATCGCATACTAAATTAAAAAAGGAAAAAAAAAAAAATAAATAAATAAATAAAGAAATTATCAAGATAACATCTTGATAAAGTTTGCGACTTACTGAAAATATGAAATCAAGTATGAGAAATTTCTAAATCACATATACATGAAAGAAATCGTAGAAAAATGTATTTTGACATAAATTATACACGATAGCCGCGTCCATATTGCGAATAATAATATATAGAACAATAATATTAAATTTATTCGTTAAAAACTAAGGAGTGAACCTATTGCAAAAATACAGACGAGAAATTTTCGATTTTTTTTTCTTCTGTTTTATACAAACATTTTTAGTAAAATTTCTTTTCATTTCTTTAAATCCATTCCTCTTTCTTTTCTTTTCATTAATATTTCTCTTTAACAACACGTTCCAAACTATCCAAACAATCTCTGAAAAAAAAAAAAAAATTTACACAAAACTTAACACAGCTCTTCAACATATTACTCCAATATTCGAAAATAAAAGCACACGCTATATTATTAGTCTTGCAATCTTTCAAACGGTCGATTTAATCAATAATGTATGTATTCGTTTAATTAATGCTCATCATCATTTACCACCGAATATATTTACCAATAAAATTTTCCTTTCTTTTCTTTTTTTTCCTTTTTTTTTGTTTTTTTTTTTTTTTTTTTTTTTTTACGGAGACCCATTTAATAAGGCACAATTTCTGCCTGAGAAGGCACTAAATTATCATTTTCTAAACTTGTACATATATAGTTGATCGTATTGCATACACATAAACCACGCAAAAAGGACAGAGATCAATTTGAAGCGAGTTATACAACTAAACGAAGATTATTGTGCACCAAGATTTGTACAAATTCGTTATCTCTCATTGATACGAGTCGTATCGTCAAAAAAAAAAAAATTCATTTCTTCTAAATATAATTCTATTTTCTCTTATATTATATTATTCATTCACATTATATCCTTTCCTTTTCTCCAATTCTATCTTATTATTTTTCCCACCTTACTTTGTCTCGCTCTCGATTAATCCGAACGTCGATAGAATTTAAAAAAAAAAAAAAAAAAAAAAAAAAAAAAAAATGGATGTACATGGATACACGGCGTTGCATGAACGGGGTGGTTAAAGTTATCTCTAAAAAAATATCGATCGTATAAAAAAAAAAAATTTTTTTCCCATCCTTCTTGTTTGACAAAAATAAAAGATGGCGCGCGATCGCGCTGGAATAAAATTATATTTTTTTTTTTTTTTTTCCCCAAATTACAAACTATTCTCTCGTTTCGACTAAAAATTTGAAAAATATCTCAGTATTATGCACTTAGAAAAATTCCTATATAAACAATAGTTATATTTACTCTATATATTCGTTATTCGTTTGTTTCTTTCTTTTTCTTTTTTCTTTTTTTTCTTTTTCTTTTCTTTTATTTATTTTTTTTTTATTGATTTTTTTTGTTTTTATTTTTTTTTTTCTTCTTTTTATATGATAAAATAATCGTGAGAATATCACCAGAAATTTCGCGACGATCGGTTAGACAGTCGTGTCCAGATTGCTTCTACTTCCTCCCGAGTGTATGAAATCTACGTCCATTTCCGAATACTGGCGCAATTCCGGTGTGAATGCCGCACCGTTGTCCTCTCGCAACTCTCCGAAAATTCTTACGTTCGATGTGTTCGCGTGTGTCTCGAGACAGGAGGCTGAGGTCGTTCGAAAGTGACCCGAGTCTTCGATCGTTTCCCTTCCGTTGAAAAACGTTGACCGTGCAGATTTCAACTGTGGTTGGGACGTTCCGACATTAACATCGCTACTTAAACGACGTTTATATCGTAGATTTGTCAGTGTCTTCAACACTGTTGACGAAGCCTTTTCTCGTTGCTGCGCCCTACGAGGGAAACGTTCAGGGATGGTGATGACAGAACAGAAAGAGGAAGATGGACCACAGCTAGTATCCATTTTCCATTTCAGATTTTT